CTATCACCATCCCACTTTTTAACGGCAGTGAAGACAACTGTTTTTGCTGGCATGTTCAAACCCATGGCAAACTGTCACAAAAAAAAAGGAAAAAAAAAAGAAGCAACGGCACATCCATCAGCACTGAAGCTCAAAAAGCAAGATCTCAAGTAACAATAAAAAGGATTCTAAAACAACCACAAACAATCAGGTGGTTTGTAGGAATCTTACAGTTTCTGTGGCAAAGAGGGCCTTAACAAGACCTTCCTGGAAAAGGAGCTCTACTAATTCTTTAATTACAGGAAGAAGCCCAGAATGATGAACAGCAATACCTCTCTGGAGAAGAGGTAACATTAACTCAATTGCAGGTAGTTCTCTGTCTTCCTCGTTCAAGCAGAGAATCGCATTTCTGAAAACATGTTCCACTGTATCTTTTTCCTCTTGGGTATTAAAGTCAAGTTTGGACATGGACATTGCATGTTGTTCACATTCTCTTCTACTGAAACTGAAGACAATAACTGGTTGAAAAGTCCGTTCCATAATCATCTGACACAAGAAAGCACACCGTTTCAAGCACAAAACATGATCTAAATTTTTCTTCTCAGTAAGAAACAATTTTATAGAACAGTGGGAATTCTTCTTTCTTGGAAGTCATGGGTTTGTGAATAATCCCCTGATAATCTTAATATTTACAAGTCATCTAAACTAAACATTTTTAAAAAACTGTTGTACAAAATAGGCTGTCAAACTATCCTCCTTATGGACAGCCTAAAAGTATCCTTTTCACTGAAGATGACGATTTTTTAATTTGTATGTGCAGTAGCGCTACCTCCCTCCAACAGTGTCCCATGGGCAAAGCTGGTGAAGAAACAACTCAAAACTCTATTTGCTCGGTTCCCTCTAAAATTATGGAATTTTATCATCTCATTCTTTGGTTTAACAACCCCGCATCACGATAATCAGTTTTCCTATCTACATCTGCATTTAATAGGTATCCTCGTCAAAAGGCATTTGCCCATCTGCTTCTATTTTCATTTGCCTTGATGAAAAGTTCGGTTTCTTATCAAAAAAAAAAAAAAAAGGAAAAACAGTAGGGATTGCATAACTTAGAATTGTGAAGTCAATCCTACATTCGATGGGCATATATTTATCCCAAATTATGGGTTTTTCAATCCCAAAGCTACATAAAATCAAGCTAACTCGAGCTTTTTCAACTCACACTCAGACTGCATCCTTATTTTTATGAATCACAATTGCATAAACTCAAATTCCTTTAACTCATTCCTCTAAACAAACAATCGCATCTACCAGCCCATACTTTTCATTGTCTTGTAAATGGCATCTTTTCTGAATCAGCCTCTCAGGGCAACTTGACTTCTTCTGTAATTGAAGCATCACCGATAGTCGTACCATTTATAAGGCTTTTACGTAACTTACTTTCGCTTGGTTAAGCCTTCTCCTCTCCCTTTTCCTTGATCCTTCATTATTTTAACAAAATGTCTTCCAGTTTCTTATAACAAGAAAAATAAAAAAGAAAACAAAATAACAGATAAATAACGAACCTTAACAATTTTATAAATGTCTGAACCTCCGGAAGCACTGCCACCTTTAGCAATTCTCCCACTAGATTTCCCGTTTGCAGTCTTGTGTCCAGCAATCTGTTTCTGTTTAGCAAAAGTATCCTGCAACTTCAGAAAATTGTCCTCCCTGAACCGTTCGTTTTCATCAACCACAAGATACAACCCGTTACCACCCATAGGAAAAACATAATGTTGCAATGGGGTTGGTCGAAAATCAGTGTACACCACATGACAAGGCTGCTTGTGTATGTTACATATCCACTCAGCAAATTCCGTGGCATTTGACATGGTTGCAGAAAGGAAGACCATTTTGATGGCCGGTGGTAAAAATATAATACTCTCTTCCCAAACGACCCCTCTTTCCCTATCTTTCATATAGTGAATTTCATCAAAAATTACCCATGCTACTTCTTTCAAGACTTCCGAACCCCTATAAAGCATCCCCCTAAGAATCTCCGTCGTCATGACTAAACAACTAGCATTAGGCGAAAGAGTGACGTCCCCAGTCATCAAGCCAACGTCTTTAAACTCTTGACTCAACTCTCTGTACTTCTGATTACTCAAAGCCTTTAATGGGGAAGTGTACAAAACCCTCTGCTTATCTCTGAAAGCCATAGCAATCGCATATTCCGCAACCGCAGTTTTTCCAGCAGAAGTATGAGCAGAAACCAAAATAGATTCATTCCGTTCCAAGCACGAAACCGATACCTGCTGAAACGGGTCGAGCCTAAACGGATACGTCTTCGCCATTGCGCCATTGTAAACCGGATTCGAGAGGGTTCCATGAATCGATTCGTCTTTCGTAGAAGAGTACCCAGCCGGGACCGCAACTTCATGAACACACGTCCGCGCCAAATTACGCCTATTGGAGAGAGTCTCCTGATTCGAATTTACCTTCACATCTTCTAGGTTTTGTTGCGATTCTTTCGGTCGCTTATTAGAGCTTTGTTCTTCTTGGTTGTCGCCGGTTTCTGTGACGGACGACTCTTCCTCGGGTTCCTTCCGCTTTCCAAGCGTCGGAGATCCTTCCATCACCTCCGAAGGTTCAATTTACTTGAAGAGCGAGTCGAAATGGGGAAGCCGAGTGTCCACAGACAAAAGAGGAAGGTGAAGAACAGTGACAGTGGATTGCTCGCCGGAGTGTGGACGCTGCAGGTGAATGAGAAAATGGTGGTAGGCGACAATGTAAAGCGGGAGACGTGCGGCGGCGGAGGAGAACTGCCGGCGACGGCGACACTTAGTATACTGCAGAAGTTATTGGGCTAACCTATTTTAAATAGGTTAAAGATGGAAGAATATATTTTCGACTACGAGCACTTCATATATTTAGTCTTTTTTTAATTATACACTTTCATATTGAAATAAAATTTGTTAATGTAATAACCTATCTAAAGTTGCGTTAAACCGAGTTTAGCGATAATTGACATATATTTCTAACTAAATGATATATGTGGTATTAAAAAAAATTTATCTAAAGTTGTTGAGAAGAAGTTACGAAACGCCACACAATAACATGTCGGATCTTCCTCTACCTGCAAGAGCGTATTGAAAAAGAAAGGTTCGATGTTAGATTTCTATGTGCGTTCATGTATGGTACTTACATAATACTGACATTGTCACATAAATCGGGTATAAACAAAGACTATCATCAATCGATTTTAATATTTAAAGATGAAAATGGACCTAGAATTTTATTTGAATAATAGTAACCTATGTTGAGCCTTTCATAAAAAAAATTACCTTTTGTTTTACCTTTTAGTTTAATCTACTTTTTTCCTTTCTCTCTTGTCTTCTCTCTATCTCAAACGTAATACCAAAAAATTATTTGGAAGTCCTAACTTCTTCTTATTCTTTTTCTCTCTTAGATTTGTTTATTTTTAAAAGAATGAGAATTAGTAATATAGATATTTTATCTACTTAAGTAAATTATATGTTAGACAAATAATTAAGAAAGCTATAAAAGAATAATGGGATAAGATAAAAGATTAATAATGACAAAGATTATATGAAAAAATAATGATTAATTAAGTTCACGTCTAGATCTATCAACAAATTTAGAATGATTTAAACTAAAATGAAATTAATAATGGTCACTTCAGTACTAAAAAAATAATGGTCACTTCATAATTTTATTCCTTCAATTCTTTTGTCTTTCCTACTAATTTACAGTAATTAATTGTTTTTTTTTTTTGTGATTTTGTGTAAGAATTAAAATTTGTTTACTATATGGGTTTTAAGAAAACTACATTACCCACTCGCACACCCTTCAGTTTTACCTCACACTCTCTACCGCTGGTGAAAATTGAAAACACGGGTAGAAATAAATGAAATCGAAGAATAAATATAAAAGAAAATTATTGAGGGTAAATTTGAGATGAATTTATTATTATTTTTTTTTTAAATAAATTTGAGATTAATTTTGGAGGAATAAAAAATAATGTACCCGTTAAACATTTTTCAAAAGTTTCCTAATTTTGATTAGAAAACCAAAATTGATCTTAAAACTCGTTAAAATATTTAATTAATACTGATTCCATAAGAATCGATGGTAAAAGTACTTTCATTGGAAAAATACTTTTTAAAAAGTCATCTCAAACTCCAAAAATATAATTCGGACGTGTTGTACTAAAAAAAGAGTTACCCATGATTCTTCCTTTTTACCGACTTATTCACACTTCAGATAAGAAATTAAGAAAAATTATTGTATTTTCATTTTCAAATTAAAGTATGAATATTGTGCATAATAATCATCTCGCAGTCCCGCAACTCAGATTGATGCAATGTGAAATCCTAATGTGTCCACGTGAGATATAACATCATGCCATCAATAATCCATGCAATCACAGAGCGTTGTTGACCATCAAATAGCAAGATCGGATAACTTAGCAACGAGATCATAAATCTCAATGCATTCACATGGAAAATAAGATCGCTCGCAGTCCCGTAGCTCGATCGATGCGATGTGAAACCCTAATGTGTCCACGTGAGATAAAACATCATGCCGTCAATCCATGCAATCACATAGCATTATTGACCATCACATATCTTAATCTCATTGCAAGGATATTCATAAAATCACATTATGCCTTTTATTTTAACACGTCTGTCATAGGTGATAGGTGAATACATAAAATGTTACGACTTTTCGATTGTTGAACTGTGGATTTGTTTTCATTTTTTTTTGTTCACCTTTTGTCTTTACTGTAAACACTATTGCTAAAAAAAGAAAAAAAAAATCATCATCGCATCGCTCCAACTTCATTCATTGGATCGTGTAATGTTTTATTGTTGTTGAACATTCATTTATTCACGCTTTCCAATATAATTGCATGTAAAACAAGAAACGAGAAATGAGAAACGACACGTTGACTCCTAAAATTGCCCTTAAAATTTTAAATGCTAAAAAGAATCAAATTATTGAAGTTCAAGACAGGGTCACCATTATCACCAAAAAAGAAAAAAACATTCATATAAGCCATTTCTCATTGGACTGGGGAAGAAAATCTGCACATCTTTTTCTAATTTACATGAAAAACTAAGGATACAAAGTTTTATGCTTTTGCTTGCTAAACTGCACCACAATAATTTAAAACTACGACGTGGCAAACGAGATCAGCCCCGACGACGACGATATCGTGAACTATAATCACATTGGTGAATAATATACCACCTTCCACGACAACTCGGAACCCGGATCAAGCTTCACTTTGCTTCCACCTCAACTTCAACTTCTTCTCTCAACTATGCTTTCTAAGAGATTTCAAGAAAAATTCATTGGCTAGCTCTTCCATTGTTGCAAGATTCTTGCAACGCGAAATCGCAGCCGAAGCTATGAACGTTTGAGCTAAAAACTATAAGAATCAGTTACCAAAAGAAGGGGAGTGTTAGCATTTAGGCAGTGGTATGGTGTTTGTTCAAGCATTCCCACCATCCGAGCTGCTGCAGGCTTGGTTCGGTAGGACCCCATTTCCAAAATCGTCATCCAAGCTCATTTGCTGCACTTCCTGTGGGGACAGGATCTTGATGCTCCGTACACAGTTCACAAAGTCGCTGAAATTATGAACAAACACGAGGTAAGGCTAACCGATGAACGGTATCGACAAACTCGAGTAAGAATAAGTACTATGAATGGGAGATATCCATACAGAAAGAGGTAAATGAAAGACTTACTCCCAAGGGTCATCGCCTACAAGTAAAACATCATTCTCATGATCCACATAAACAAGTTTCCAGCCTATTTTTTGCCTGTCCTCCAACTGCCCCTCGATACCGAACCTACGGGCAAGGTCTTGTTTCAGCTCATCATAACCCGAGTAACGGGTGATATCGATAGATCTCCCAACAGCTCCACGTTTGTACACCTTCAATAAGGAAAATAAGCAAGTTAAACCAAACCACATTGAGAAACATAAGAAAAAAGGCAATGTAGGACAGGACTACTTGGTTAGCATTTAATTTGTAATCATACCTTGGTGTAGGTTCGCATACGCTGAAACGGAGGCGGAGGAGCCCATTGATTTCTGTTCAAGAAGGCATTATCGTTTATCGTCGAATCCATGGAATTAAATGTCATGTCTGGAATACCGAATGACTGAGAAACTAAAGAGGAAGAAATTTCCTGCTGAGGATCTTTCTGTACGTCATAAGTGGTGAGCATGCCCCCAGAAGAAAAATTATTGGAGAAATCCTTCCCCAATCCTCCAATACCCTTGTTGTTTAACAAAGGATCGGAATTTAACTGCGCTACCAATTGTCCATCGACGTTAGCCTCATACGGAATGTTATGGAGATCTGCTGCTACTTCCAAATCCTGAGTACTATCTCTAAACAACATCGGTTGCGAGTTGAATGACATCATATTATTTTGCTGCTGCAGTTGAGCATCATTCTGAGAAAGGCAAGCCGAGGTTGTGGAGGACGACGTGTCCAAGAAATCTGTCTGAGCAACCGCGCCGCCCAAGAAAGTTTGTTGTGCAAAAATTCCATGGCTTTGATTCTTGGAAATATTCAGTGAAGGTTTAACAGCAGTCTTCTGTGGAAAATCTTTAACCAAGTTGGCATTTGGAGACATGGTATTATCCAAGGCATTTGGACTGAATATAGTTGCAGCAGATTGAGCCACATCCTCAACCAATCCTGTGCTCCGATGAACCCTTCCGTTCGTTACTGGTTGAATCAAACTTGGACAGTTGTTTGTGGATGGTGATGTGGAGCATGATGGTATGTCGTCAGTAATTCCGGATTGGCCAGCTCCAGCTGCTCCAGTTATTACACTACTCGTAGCTGCAGAGAGCTGATTGTTTGTTTGGCTTGGAGGAAGACCCATCTGCCTAGACATGTCAGTAATTACAGTAGATGGAGGTGGTTGCTGTAGTTGTGGGAGTTTCGGCTGCAAATGCTGATTCGAGAATCGGCTATTCGTCTGGCTATTGCTTTTCGCTGCCTGCTGCGGTAATGTATTCGAGGGAGGGACCACAATGGGGGTAGTCTGAGCCATTTCAAGCATTTGGTTCGATGACATGGATCTGGAATAGCTTTGGGACACATCTATCAACGGTCTCTGCTGTTCTGGAAGTTGCGCGAGTTGAACAGGCTGAAGAGCAGACTGCTGAGCCAAAAGTGATTGCTGCTGCTGCTGGAGCTTCTGCAGCATCTGAATTTGAACCTGATTATCTGACATTTGCAGCTGATTATTTAACTGTTCCGGGAGCGGGGACGGATTCACATTCTGCTGTTGATTCTGACCCAAAATTTGCTGATGCTGATGCTGCTGCTGCATCTGCAGGTTCTGAGGGAGGCTTCTCTGAAGCTGCTGATTTTGCAAAGAGTTTGGTTGCTGAAGGATCCCATTCCCATGAGGCTGCTGCATAATTTGAGCTTGAATCTGACTCGAGACTGCGTTTTGGTTAATCAAATTCTGCCGTGTCTGCTGGGACATATCATCCAATTGTTCAGCCACCAATGAGCTCATATTCGATGGTAGCTTAGGCAGCTGATCTAACTGTTGAGCTTGAGAAAGTAGCCTTTGAGCATTGAACTGTATGTTGTTCGATTGAGGAATTTGCGTCGCTGACAAGCCAAGTTGCCGAGAAATATCGACTCCACCAAGGTTTTGTAGCATTGACCCGGAAAATGATTGCATATAATTTGGCTGCATCGAGTTAGACAGCGAAGGGTTTTGCATATTCATCCATTGAACTAAGTTCAGGCCAGGATATCCCTGTGGATCTTTCATGCAGAAATCATCACCAAACATTGTTCTTTTAAAAATACCATCCAAATCAGAGGAGTCGTCATCTGCAAGTGAAAATACAAGTACATTACGTTAACACTCAAACATTAACGAATCCAAATATGATAACTATTCATCACAAAGTACAAATCAGAAAAGCATGAGAGTTGAGTTTCCAAATGGTTAAATCCGGTAACCAATATCAAGAATTGAGAATAACTCTAACAAGTATTGCACCTGGCATTCCCGGTTGCCTTGGACGCTTCGATCTCAAGAACGGAGGGGGACAAATGAAAAATGGAGCAATTACCGGTTCGATCTCCCATATCGAGACTCGGTTACGTCTTTCTCCTCCAGTTGACTCATCCCACCCGACCTAAATCATGGATGCTATGCTTCAGCAATATCCCAAACTATATGTAGGCAGTTATTTTCATATATAGAACAAATTTTCAAGAGTCAGGACAATGTTGCTATCGAACCTGTAGATTACGCCATTGCGAGCCCTTCCATCTGACGGGATCAAGATCACTTATACCTGTGATAGTACCCATGTACCTGAAAAAAAAGATCGATTTTCGCCATAAGAACTGAAACACGTGTTTTGAGAAACAGAAGACTAGAAAAACAGGAAACTATTTTCTATTGAGCCTAGAAGATAACTCCACTATATTTTGGATGCAATCGGAAACCAAAATAACAACAGAAAGATGGATTTCAAGTCGGTAACCCATCAATGTTGCAATTTGCTTATTAATATTAATGAGAATTGTGAATTTTCCTTTATTTCCCAGTGTATGATTTCATCTGAAACAGGAAAAAATCACTAGATCTACCTTCTTGTTCCAGACTCTTCTGTCTCAAACATCATCCTAAAGCGCATACCGAGCGATATTTGGTTTGCAGACACTGCCTTGTAGTATTTGGCAAGAGGAATGACAAATTCTGAAGGACTTGCCCTGCATTACAAGGAATATAAATTTGGAACCTCAATGATTCAAATTTACAAAGAAACATACATTTAATTGCATTTAACCATATTGGTTAAGAAGTAACGGACACCAACCTTGGGTTGTAGAAGACGGTGAAAGGGCTATTGTTTGCGGCGGCATGGGCAGCAGCTGCAAGAATACCAATGTGCATACTATCAGTCGACAACACCGATGATGATAAGTTCGTTGGTTGCCTGTTCGCGCGCCTTATGCCCAAAAGAAGCTGTTGTTTTTCATCTCTGCACAAGAAAAATGCATATAAAGTAAGATCAAGTTTTCTTATACACCATTTCTTCTTTTATAGACACTTTCTTCACTAAAACAGCATCAAAGTTTCCCTTTTCATTCGACTGCATTAACCGAGACACCGAACTCGAAAAAGTTAATCATCATAACTATACCAAGAAATGTTATCACCTTATGAACAAAACTGAATCACCAGCAAGAAGTCTTTTTCCACTAACAAATAGGCTCCAACCCGTTGTCAGCAAATGACGTTTCGGTTGTCCTGCATTGTGAAAAACAGAAAGATACAAGCAAATGTTTAGAGAACAATTCTTGAACAATTTCACACAAGCTATGAGCTCGAACACGGATTGTACCTCGATATATGTGACGAAAATTCCATACAGTATCATGCAAATCCTTGGCAACAAGCTCTTGTGCAGGTGGTTGCATAGAGAAATCCTAGCAAGAAAACAGAACATTACATTTGAAAACTAACACAAAAGGAAATAAATAACATGGCAAAAATAAGCAAAAATTTGCTCACAAGAGGGGGGAAAATCTTCTCTGCAGCACGGCGAGGCACAGAGAACCCGCCATGAGTGCTCGTGTCACTTGCAGTCAATGTTTTACAGAAGAACTCTGGTTGTGGCTTATTAGACTTGAGAGATAGATCAGATCTCAACAATGCATCCTTGTCAAACTACAAAGTAAACATCAAGACAGTAAGGTACTAATCTAGGCAGGCCAACTCAACAGACTTGAAGGAGTGTTTTCCCTTAACTATGGTTCGACCTTACGACTCGAGACTCGAGAGGTATTCCCACATTCCGAGTCCTTACCAAAAGGCCAGCTGAAGCCATTACTAACATGGAAGTATAAAGAATGACAATCTTGTAAGATAATCGAGTAAGGTTCTTACAGAAGGAACTGGTTGTAGTGTCATTTGAGCATAAACTTCATCTGTTTCTGGGTCAGCCTACAAATATCAAGACAATAACAAAGTTAAACAAAAAAGAAAAAAGCCAAAAAAAAAAAAAAAACCCATAAAATTTACATAAATTAGAAAGGGAAGAAAATACCATACATGTAAGGTTACATTATGAAGCAGACACAGTAACTTTGAAGGAAGATTTGGGTAATTTGGGATTTGAGCATCCACATCTTTCTTCAAAGATGCTGCAACCTGAAATTTTGCAAATTTCACTTATTTTTTTGCCACATATTACTCAAGATACAAGAAAGGATCCCATCCAAAAGAAGAAAAAGAATATAAAAAATATTCATTCTTTTCAAGTATAATATTTTGTACTACAAGAACACTCAGTTCAAATCATAATTAGAGAAAGCAAAGAATTCCATTGATTTTGATTAACCTTTATCAGTCTTTATCTTTAATCAAGATAAATATCTTATTATAATAAATATTGACAATTATTTTTTTAAAAAAAATTAAAACCAATAACAATCAGACTGCACCAAAATAACCCAAGAGAAATATAATAACTTTTTTCAAAGAGTAACAAAAAGTTATTACATGACTCATATTTGTTTTCTTCATTTAATTATAATTACAAATACATATAGTTTAAACAAATATTTAAATCCCTAAATTTTCAAATATTCTATTTTAGCCCCTAAACTTCGCATCAAAACTATTTCAATCCTTTACATTAATTTCCCGCGACTTGTTTAGCAAAAAGTCTAAACTCATTTTCGAGCATGAATCAACCAAAAGAAACATGCCAATGTTTGTTTTTCATTAAATAATTTACACAAAAAAAAAATTATACGGTCGGTCCAAATTAATTATTTTCTTTAGATCATTTACGGGCGGGACCAAAATAGAATTTAAACTTAAAAGAAAAAAGAAAGGGACAATAATTTCATTTTTCTTTTTTGGTTGTTTTAATAAATGAAGAGGAGGACATAGGTCATTTATTCATCCGATGAGTAAATAATAGTTGTAAAGGAGAATTCCCAAATGGTTAATAATAATTGTGAAATGGCACTAAAAAACGGCGCATAATAGCAAAATAATGGCGGAGGTCTAAGAAAACCTGTTCGCTGTGGCCTTGGGGAAAATACACCACGTGGTAACCAGCCGGCGGCAGGTTGACCAGTGGTCCGGCGCACGCTTGCCATAACTCCGGGTTTATGAGCTTCTTCTCCATTCCACCTGCAACGCACCAACTGTCACTCACCGGTATGTCAGGCACTCAGCCAATTCCTTTTTCGTTCACTATCTGTTCACGTTTTAGTTTTTTTGTTTCTGGAGAAAATGATGGAAAATTGACGCAATTCTGGAGGTTTTTGAAGGTTTCTGAAGAAATTACTGATCTCTCTCGTTTTTTGAACTGTTGCGAGTAGATTTATAGGATTTCGATTAAAATTAAGGTCAAGATTGAATTTGATGGAGTTCGGGAAGATTTTTTAAGAAATTCCTAATCTCTCTGGTTTTTCGGACTGTAGCGAGTAGATTTGTAAGCCTTCGATTAAAATTAAGCTCGAGATAGAGTTTGATGGAGTTCCGGAAGGTTTTTTTTAGTAGAAATTCCCAATCTCTCTGGTTTTACGGACTGTAGCGAGTAATTTATGAAAGTTCGATTAAAATTAAGCTCGAGATAGAATTTGATGGAGTTCTCGAACGTTTTTTTTGTAGTAGAAATTCCCAATCTCTCTGGTTTTACGGACTGAAACGAGTAATTTATGAGAGTTCGATTAAAATTAAGCTCGAGATGGAATTGTGGGAGTTCTGGAAGGTGTTTGAAGAAATTCCTAATCTCTCTGGTTTAACGGACTGTAGCGAGTAATTTCTGAGAGTTCGATTAAAATCAAGCTCGAGATGGAATTTGCGGGAGTTCTGGAAGGTGTTTGAAGAAATTCCTAATCTCTCTGGCTCTACGGACTGCAGCGAGTAAATTTATGAGAGTTCGATTAAAATGAAGCTCGAATTAGAATTTACGAGAGTTTTGGAAGGTTTTTGAAGGTTAATGAAAGAAATTCCTTGGAAGTTGTGGAAGTTCTCGAGAGAATAATTCCCAATCCCTCAGGTTTGACGAACTGTAGCGAGAAAATTTCTGGAGAAATCGATGAGATGAAGCTTGAGATAGAACCAAAGAGGAAGATTACGAATCTCACCATCACCATGTGATTTCATTTTCATTAGTTCTGTGATTTTAGAAATCCAGAGAGATAGAGAGAGTACCTTCGCAGGAATTTGTCGCGGCGGTGGTGGAGGCAGCACCGGCACTGTTCGCCGGCGTCTTCATTGCTGTCGCCGTCGAGTTCCGCAGTTGGATGTAAAAGAAGGAAACAACCGCTAAAATCTCACTGGCTCATCGTCTCCGGCGCTGCGCCGCCGCTTCCGGCAAAAATTAAAACTTCCAGTAGCTCAGATCGAAGAAACAAAAAAAGGTTCTGATTCCGAAAGTGAAAGTCAGCTTTAATCCCGCTGGCTGGATCAACCCCCCAAAAACAAAAACAAAAACCAAAACCAAAAGCAAAAGGGGGAAGAAACAAGAAAGTCCCTCAAATTTTCCCGGAAAAGAAAAGAAAAGAAAAAGAAGAGACCACGACGGAGCAGGAAGAAGAAGGTCAAGAACGGAGGAAGTCCGGCGAAGTGGCCGGAAAAGCAAATCGGAAAACAAAAAACAAAAAATGGGATTAAGGAAGAAGAGGGGACAAAGAAGAAAAGAGAGGGCTTCGTTTTCCTGAGTTACAGAGAGACCAAATGCTGAAGCAGTGTTCCCTATCTTCCCCTACAATCTCCAGACAACTTCCTCTTCTCTCCCACAAAAACTTTCCATTTTTCTTTCTCCTTCCCAATGTCTTCTCTAACAACAGAAGAACAAAAAAAAAAAAAAGCTTCCTTTTTTTTTCTCTCTCTCTCTCTCCTTGAAAACAAATTAAAAACTTTCTCTCTCTACTGCTTTGCTTTGTTTATGTCTGCTTTGAGTTTGCTTTCTTTCTGGGTCCTTGAAAATGGCACTCTCTTCTACTCTCTCTCTCTCTCTCTTCTTCATTTAACTATTTTGTTTTGGGGTTTCTAATTCACACCTTAATCATGGTTAATCCTTTTGCATAAAACTGTTTGCTTAATCCCCAAAATGCCCCCCATCATAATCAACCAACCCACTAGCAAAAAAAAAAAGAAAAAAAAAAGAGGACAAAAATTAAAAACATATAACTAGACAGCATCATGTGCTAATTTTGACCATTTTCTTGACCATCACTATCTCCATGTTATTAATTGCACCCCTAAGTTTTATTATCCATTTCATTCCCCCTTTTCCTTTCTTATCTCTCTCTCTATTTGATATAGTTTCAGTTTTTAGTTTTTTTTGGTTTAACATGTGTGGAGGTAAGATTCAAACTTTCGATCTTTTTAGTCTTTGAAATCAATAAGTGATAATGGATAGAAAAAATAAATTTTCCATTTTTCTATTAACACTTTTCTCTTTAATCAATTTTTCATTTGCTTTCTGTTGTTCTTATTGGTACAGCGAACAAAAAATCATCAACGATTTTCAAAACCCTACTTGGATTAGAGTAAACGAGTTTTATTAAAGCCTATAAATATTAGATTCTCAACAAGAAATGATCGAAGCTATCTGACAGAATTTACAAAGAGAAGGAAAACTCAAGTCAACCGTTTCGCTTACTTGAAATTTTTAGTTTTAACCAGAAACCTATAATGGAATTTGAATTTCCAACTATTAGTAGAAGTTATTAATATACATGGGTTTTATCTCAAAATTGCTTGACAGAAATTACAATGCCTTAATCACTTAACTCTACTTGGATTGAAATATTAAATCTCACTTAATCATTATATTCATTCCTATGGTTTAAATTCTTCAAATTTAAAATTGGAAATTAGAGTGTGCTTGATTAAGGGGTTGATTAAGAGGTTGTTAAGTAATATTTTATTTTTTTTAAATACTTTTTGTTTTTAATTTTTTAGAAAACATATACATTTTACCACCGCTCGTCATTTACCATTTCTCACTTTTGAAGAAATGTTTACCGGCAAAAAGTGCTCGTTTCTTGAATACCTTTTTCAAGAAAAATAAAAACATTTGTTTTTTGTTTTTTTAGATTTATTTTTTACTTTTAAAATGAGTAAATAAATATTAAAAAAATAACACAATAATTTTTAAATATTATTTTTTTAAATATTAATTTTCAAGTGAAATTTTCATTGTTTAATTAAAAAATTAGAGAACGTGAAGATAAAAATAAGTAGTCAGTACAAATATATTTCTTTTTCCAATAGGTATAAAAGAATAAGAAAAAAAAATCAACAGACACATTCACGTTTATTTTCCTATTGTATCTCTTAAGTCACTCATTTCTAAATTTGACTTTGATATTTGACTTAGTTCATAAGACTTATAATACAAATTTATATAGTGTCGTAGAAGATTCTTATTAAATGTTATTAACAAATCAATGACGCGAAAGAAACAATATTTTATACAAAATTTGGGGACTAAAACAAAATGAGGATGAAAGTTTAGGGATCAAAATAAAATACCGCCCTAGTATATTTTATTGAAAAATTCAATACGAGGGATGAAATTACAATTATTCTTACGATAATTTTTCTCAATATTTTTTTCCACGGTCAAACCAAATTATTTTAAATAAAATATGGTTCATATATTTAATTCAATTTATCTAAAATTAGATAAAAGTTTGTAAAATTGATGGAAGTAAGTAAATATAATTAAAATTTGTAGCACGAGAAATTTGGTGGAAATTTAATTTCAAGACTCGTGTACAATATCCATATCAGAAAGAATATCCAAGATTTTGTAAAGAAGATGCCATAATTAGAAAAGTTAACATATAAGTTTGAATAAACCTTACACGTAACTCAAAATAATAATAATTAAAAAAAAACATGTTTGTTTTCATTATCCTCTAATTCTTACTTTGCTCTGTTTTTACTATTTTGATACTTAAAATTATGGTTGATAATAATTGTGTTTTTAGATAGCAAAATTCTTGACTAATAATTTATTAATTTTAACTCTTTTTATTTATAGAAAAGTGTTTTAAAATTTTAATTAAATTTCAAAACAAACTAACATATTTTTGGATATTTTGTTACTTTTAAAATTGAGTTATGATATGAAATTTTTAGAAGGTAAGTTTTCTTTTTCTTTTTTTTTCTTTTTTCTTTTTTATAGTACAACATGTGAGAAGGGGATTCCAACCCACCAACTTTTGAGAGAAATTAGATACATTAATCAGTTGAACTATGCTAAAGTTGGCAAAATTAATTTTTCTCCCTAAAAGTCAAGCTTGCTAAATACCATCATCTTTGTCTTGTTATCTTATTAAAATCTCTAGAAGATATAAAATAAATAAAAATTTTAATACAACTAAAAAAGTATTTATTATAAAGCAATTTAATATTAACTATATTAAGATTTCTAACATCACAATATTACCATTTCACCTCAATTAATACCCAAACTTACAAAAGTCTCTTGATAGAGTAAGGACTTCTTCGTATTTAAATTATAATCTACCACTTTTTTCACTATACTAGTCCTAACTTCTCTCTCTCAACCTGAGCATAGCTCAAATAGATTAGACACGAATTTTCGACAAAAAAAATCATGAGTTCGAATCTCCATTCCATAATATAGTACTAAAAAGGAAAAAAAAGAAAAAACTTCTCCCCTATTTGTCTTTTTCTGAATTAATTAACTTATATTACAAGCACATTCATAGAAATTTAAATAGTTTGAAATTATCATTGATTAATTATTTATAAGGTTCTTCATAATAGACATTTATTAAAGATCATTTATAGAGGGAGACTTCATGCCCAAATTTGAGATTCAAAACATTATGGAATGTTAATATTTATAGTAAGAACAAAGGGGAAAAAGAATATAAAAAATCTTGGGAACTTAAATAGAAACAATTTAACCACCTATATCATTGCAAAATTTAAAAAAAATGCTAGTATTTAATTTAAAATATGGGCCATTTGATTTACCAAATAAATTGAGCAATAAATTTGAATGCATCAATCAACCATTAAATCATTGTCTTAAAAACTTAGAATTATTTAATAATTTCGATCCTTGGTGTCTTTAAAGATAATGTTAAAAGAACACACAAGTTGGAAAGATTATTTTCCCCATAAATATTTTTGTGAAAGCTTACATTATACTCACATTGGACGCCAAGTTTGATTATGTCGGTGCAAAAATCTAGAGCAAGAGGGTATTAAACTAATATTGTATTATTCAATGTAATTAAAAAAAGTTTTTTTTTGTTAATTTAAAAAAAATGGTTTAATTTAATTCATTTTGGTATCAACGCTTCACTAAATTTTTAAAATATTTATTTTAGTCCCTAATTTTTTCTTTTGATTTTAATTGTTTAAGGAGTTGGACGATGTGGGACGGGTAGAATATGGATATTCAAATGATGAAATGGATATCTATTGGAGCCACATGTATATAAGTTGGTTTAGTTACTCTAATCTTACCTAGGCTCGACTCTCAACCTAAGATTCACGTAGGTCGAATGACGAATTTTAGTCTCACTTAGTTTAGTAATGACATAACCTACATAACTATTGGTGGCTTCGTGGTTTCACTCGAGCTAGACAACTAGGTATTTTCTTAGATTTGCCTAGTTTCAATTTTCCACCTTTAACCTTTTAAATGTTTTGTCCCGTTGTTATTGATGAACTAGTAATTTTTACTTATGTGGCCATGGCTCCGTCATGATGTGATAACACTTTGTTGGAAAATATGAAAAAAAAAAACACCTAAATTATAGAAGTAATTTGCAAAATTATAATCTTAAACTCGTGGAAATTGTTGCAATTAAACCCAACCACTGACAAAGTTGTGACGATATATTAGATTTAATTACAAAAAAGTTCATGGTAATAATCTCTATCATCGAAGGATGGTTTTGTAATTATCACAATTTTACTTTATTAATGTGGGGGGTTTCATCGAGTCACATAGGTTGAAAACCATGAATTTGGTTTAGATTTTAAAACATTATTTATATTAAGAAGTAGTAAGTTCACTTAAGTTAATTTTTGTTTTAAAGTGCAATCGATAATGTTAGATTATTGGATTATTTTGTGACTTTGTTTAAAGTGCAACTATATAATTTTATCGTCATTAAAGCGAGTATGGCTCAACAGTAATTGGCATATACCTCCAACCAAAAGTTGTGAGTTCAAATCTCTTGTCCCATAAATAGGTTACGAGATCGAAGCTATACTCAAGTTGGCTCGTCCTTATCATCTTAATTAGTGAATGAGACACAGTAATAACTCAAAAGATAAAGAAGTCTAATTAATTTATTTTGTGCTTGTTACAACGTATTTCTAATCTTTTTATACAAGTTGATTTGATTATATGTTAAGCATATCTCCTTATAAATCGTAGACATATACGTTCTAACTCATAGTGATGTAGTACTTTAAAAAAGTATTTTTTAAAAAATTCGTATTCCTCACATTAAAAAGATAATAAAAAACAAAAATCTTAAACATAAAGTTGTATTTAAAAAAAAAAGCAATGGAATAAGATTATCTTATGATTGAGAATATGAAAATGATTGTTGATATTACTCATTATATTTCTGGTCATACATATATATAAATAAAAAGAATATTAAAAAAAAATCTCAAAACATATTCTTACTAATTTTTTTATTCTCTAAAAATTATCCCTTAAATTAATTTAATTTAAAATTTTTAATTTCCATATGACGTGACATATCCGTTTATTACCATTCATTAATTTTTTTAGTACTAAAATAGTGGAAATTTTGAAAAGAGATAAATAATATTTTAGTCTTCAAGTATATCTTCTAATTTTATTTTTTTTTTGCTCAAATTCATATCATATCCTTATATTTAATAAAGGGGTAATGATGTGACAACATATGTGCCTTCAAACTTGACAACATAATAAAAATAAAACCTTTTTTTTTTCCGTTTCCTACCTTCTATTTTCATGAGTCCCAATGTTCTTCGTGGG